AGACCGGGAGGGGGCCAGAAGTGCTAGAGACCGGGAGGGTGCCAGAAGTGCTAGAGACCGGGAGGGTGCCAGAAGTGCTAGAGACCGGAACGGGGGCAGAAGTGCTAGAGACCGGGAGGGTGCCAGAAGTGCTAGAGACCGGGAGGGGGCCAGAAGTGCTAGAGACCGGGAGGGGGCCAGAAGTGCTAGAGACCGGGAGGGTGCCATAAGTGCTAGAGACCGGGAGGGGGCCAGAAGTGCTAGAGACCGGGAGGGTGCCAGAAGTGCTAGAGACCGGGAGGGTGCCAGAAGTGCTAGAGACCGGAACGGGGGCAGAAGTGCTAGAGACCGGGAGGGTGCCAGAAGTGCTAGAGACCGGGAGGGTGCCAGAAGTGCCAGAGACCGGGAGGGTGCCAGAAGTGCCAGAGACCGGGAGGGTGCCAGAAGTGCTAGAGACCGGGAGGGGGCCAGAAGTGCTAGAGACCGGGAGGGGGCCAGAAGTGCTAGAGACCGGAAGGGTGCCAGAAGTGCTAGAGACCGGGAGGGTGCCAGAAGTGCTACAGACCGAGAGGGTGCCAGAAGTGCTAGAGACCGGGAGGGTGCCAGAAGTGCTAGAGACCGGGAGGGTGCCAGAAGTGCTAGAGACCGGGAGGGTGCCAGAAGTGCTAGAGACCGGGAGGGTGCCAGAAGTGCCAGAGACCGGGAGGGTGCCAGAAGTGCCAGAGACCGGGAGGGTGCCAGAAGTGCCAGAGACCGGGAGGGTGCCAGAAGTGCCAGAGACCGGGAGGGTGCCAGAAGTGCCAGAGACCGGGAGGGTGCCAGAAGTGCCAGAGACCGGGAGGGTGCCAGAAGTGCCAGAGACCGGGAGGGTGCCAGAAGTGCCAGAGATCGGGAGGGTGCCAGAAGTGCCAGAGACCGGGAGGGGGCCAGAAGTGCTAGAGACCGGGAGGGGGCCAGAAGTGCCAGAGACTGGGAGGGTGCCAGAAGTGCCAGAGACCGGGAGGGTGCCAGAAGTGCCAGAGACCGGGAGGGTGCCAGAAGTGCCAGAGACCGGGAGGGTGCCAGAAGTGTCAGAGACCGGGAGGGTGCCAGAAGTGCCAGAGACCGGGAGAGGGCCAGAAGTGCCAGAGATCGGGAGGGTGCCAGAAGTGCCAGAGACCGGGAGGGTGCCAGAAGTGCCAGAGACCGGGAGGGGGCCAGAAGTGCCAGAGACCGGGAGGGGGCCAGAAGTGCCAGAGACCGGGAGGGGGCCAGAAGTGCCAGAGACCGAGAGGGGGCCAGAAGTGCCAGAGACCGGGCGGGGGCCAGAAGTGCCAGAGACCGAGAGGGGGCCAGAAGTGCCAGAGACCGGGAGGGGGCCAGAAGTGCTAGAGACCGGGAGGGGGCCAGAAGTGCTAGAGACTGGGAGGGGGCCAGAAGTGCCAGAGACCGGGAGGGGGCCAGAAGTGCCAGAGACCGAGAGGGGGCCAGAAGTGCTAGAAACCGGGAGGGGACTAGAACTACTAGAGGTCGAGAGGTTGACAGAGCACAGTGGGGCAGTGTATCTATCTCACTCTTGAATGAGTATCGTGTTTAGTACTCTTAACATACAAATAACAACAACAACAACAACAACAACAACAACAACAACAACAACAACAACAACAACAACAACAACAACAATAACAACAATACAGACGAAACTGACGACACCTGGTGTTTATTACCTGGCGGAGGGGTGATGATTTCCCTAATTATTCTACAGGCAGGTAAGCTATGGGGCATTAATCTGATAACATTTGTTTGAAACTCTAAACCAGCGTCGATTACTCAGTGGTGGAGGGTCGATCCTCCGTCAGCTTATATCTGGAATTATCAGATCCAATAAGTCCCTTCAAGATGTTGCAAAACTGACATTTGGCCACTTTCTGGACATTATGGAAAACCCCGATATTTTTGGGAATAGCTATTAGCGGACGATCTTCCGAAGATATACAATATAACTTCTCTCTCGTTAAATATAATAAGATATTAATGAATAAGATACGAAATATATAAAACACACGACCTCCCTTGTTAAATATAACAATTAGGTATTAACGAACATGCTAACAAAGATATACAACACACGACTTTCACCTCGTTAAATATAGTAAGCTAATGGACAAGATACGAATTATAACATTTAGGTATTAACGGACAAACCACTTCTTCGTTAAATACAATAATTGGGTAATAAACTGCTAGTGATATACAACACAACTTCTCCATCGTTAAATATAATAATTAGGCTGTAACGAACGAACTACGAAGGATATACAATAAATAACTTCTCCTTCGTAAGTTAAATAAAATAATTGATTTAATATTGAAGTCTCTGGGGTAGGTACTGGGGGGGGGGGGGCTCGGAGAGCATTTTCTGATTTTGTTATTAATACTCTTTCCATGCCTCTGTGGTCCGGCTTAATGCTTTCTTTTTGTATTGTTTCCTGGTGCACGAGCATGGGTACGAGGGTACACGAGCTGGGGTACGAGGGTACACGAGCTGAGGTACGACGATGCACGAGCTGGGGTACGACGATGCACGAGCTGGGGTACGAGGGTACACGAGCTGGGGTACGACGATGCACGAGATGGGGTACGACGATACACGAACTGGGGTACGACGATGCACGAGCTGGGGTACGACGATGCACGAGCTGGGGTACGAGGGCACACGAGCTGGGGTACGAGGGTACACGAGCTGGGGTACGACGATGCACGAGCTGGGGTGCGACGATGCGCGAGCTAGGGTACGACGATGCACGAGCTGGGGTACGAGGATACACGAGCTGGGGTACGACGATGCACGAGCTGGGGTACGACGATACACGAACTGGGGTACGACGATGCACGAGCTGGGGTACGACGATGCACGAGCTGGGGTACGAGGGTACACGAGCTGGGGTACGACGATGCACGAGCTGGGGTACGAGGGTACACGAGCTGGGGTACGACGATGCACGAGCTGGGGTACGACGATGCACGAGCTGGGGTACGAGGGTACACGAGCTGGGGTACGACGATGCACGAGCTGGGGTAAGACGATGCACGAGCTGGGGTACGACGATGCACGAGCTGGGGTACGAGGGTACACGAGCTGGGGTACGACGATGCACGAGCTGGGGTAAGACGATGCACGAGCTGGGGTACGACGATGCACGAGCTGGGGTACGAGGGTACACGAGCTGGGGTACGACGATGCACGAGCTGGGGTAAGACGATGCACGAGCTGGGGTACGACGATGCACGAGCTGGGGTACGAGGGTACACGAGCTGGGGTACGACGATGCACGAGCTGGGGTAAGACGATGCACGAGCTGGGGTACGACGATGCACGAGCTGGGGTACGAGGGTACACGAGCTGGGGTACGAGGGTACACGAGCTGGGGTACGACGATGCACGAGCTGGGGTACGACGATGCACGAGCTGGGGTACGAGGGTACACGAGCTGGGGTACGACGATGCACGAGCTGGGGTACGACGATGCACGAGCTGGGGTACGAGGGTACACGAGCTGGGGTACGACGATGCACGAGCTGGGGTAAGACGATGCACGAGCTGGGGTACGACGATGCACGAGCTGGGGTACGAGGGTACACGAGCTGGGGTACGACGATGCACGAGCTGGGGTAAGACGATGCACGAGCTGGGGTACGACGATGCACGAGCTGGGGTACGAGGGTACACGAGCTGGGGTACGACGATGCACGAGCTGGGGTAAGACGATGCACGAGCTGGGGTACGACGATGCACGAGCTGGGGTACGAGGGTACACGAGCTGGGGTACGAGGGTACACGAGCTGGGGTACGACGATGCACGAGCTGGGGTACGACGATGCACGAGCTGGGGTACGAGGGTACACGAGCTGGGGTACGACGATGCACGAGCTGGGGTACGACGATGCACGAGCTGGGGTACGAGGGTACACGAGCTGGGGTACGACGATGCACGAGCTGGGTAAGACGATGCACGAGCTGGGGTACGACGATGCACGAGCTGGGGTACGAGGGTACACGAGCTGGGGTACGACGATGCACGAGCTGGGGTAAGACGATGCACGAGCTGGGGTACGACGATGCACGAGCTGGGGTACGAGGGTACACGAGCTGGGGTACGAGGGTACACGAGCTGGGGTACGACGATGCACGAGCTGGGGTACGACGATGCACGAGCTGGGGTACGAAGGTACACGAGCTGGGGTACGACGATGCACGAGCTGGGGTACGACGATGCACGAGCTGGGGTACGACGATGCACGAGCTGGGGTACGAGGGTACACGAGCTGGGGTACGAAGGTACACGAACTGTGGTACGACGATGCACGAGCTGGGGTACGAGGGTACATGAGCTGGGGTACGACGATGCACGAGCTGGGGTACGACGATGCACGAGCTGGGGTACGTAGGTGCACTCATGAAGAATCGCATTATTTATAAAGCGAGTGAATTGTGAGAAAGTTATTTTTTGCTGCACTTCTTGTAGTGTATTGAGGGAGAAGATAAAGGATGGGAGAAGACAAGAAGAGGAACGTAAGGAAGGGAAGGGAGGAGAAAGGGATGAAGAAATGGAGGAAGGAAAGGGGAGAAGAGAGAGAGAGAGAGAGAGAGAGAGAGAGAGAGAGAGAGAGAGCGAGAGCACACACACACACACACACACACTATATATATATATATATATATATATATATATATATATATATATATATATATATATATTATATATATATATATATATATATATATATCCGGAGAATCGTCGTACAAGACATACACCTCATGATTCTGTACACAACCTACCTCAGTTCCAGCTTAAAATACGCAGCACAAGCCAGGAGCCCCACCTAATTATGCACACTCAGAAGTTTAAAAATGTACAAAGTCTTGCAACCAGATTTGTCCCAGAAATAAATCATGACAAAATCACGGAGAAATATGAGTAAGACATTAAATATTCGGAGGAATTGATCATGCTGATTAGGACTTTTTTTTTTTTTTTAAGGGAGAACCAGATGCAAGAGGAAGTGGATGGAAGGAGAGAACACAGACGAGTCACAGGGATGTCAGGAAGTAATTTTTCAGTCTCATGATAGAAGGAAAGTGGAATCAAAGCAGCAATTCCGGTCGATGAAGATCAAGAAACCAGGAGCCAGGACTCGACCAACCCTCCTTGCAGACAAAAATCTGACTACAAATCGGTGAGTGCACACGCCAACATTAGCGAGCTTGCTCACACAATTCCACAATCATTAACAATACTTACTATCTTAACGAGGAAGGTGTTTAGAAGAATAACAACAGACTTCCCAGCCGTCCGTCTGCATGTTTGTCCCTGTGTGTATATGTCCAACACATCTCACCTTTATGATTTTTTAAGATATTTTTTCTCTCAGTGTACACATTCGGGGTCTTGTGAGGGGCCTAATTTGTATTTTAGGATCTTAAAAAACAGGCGCAAATGTGTTTTGTTTATATTTGAAAATGGCCACAGAAATGTTTGTGGGTGGGGAGGGGGAGAGAGGGAAGGGTAAAGAGAAAGAGGAGGGAAAGTAAATTTTAGCTAAAATAGAATATATGAGAAAGTAAAGAGGGGCTGGGAGAAAGGAAAGAAGTGGAAAGCAAAATGGAGAAGAAAGTAAGGAAAGTATGAGGAACATTGTAGAAAGACAGTCTAGGACTGTTAGGATGAACGAGTAATAGGGGAGGTAAAAACGATAGAGAAGAAAAAGAAGGAAAACGAAAAAAAGAGTTACAATGCAAGAGAAGATGATAAAGCGATGAAAAGTGAAGAAAGAAATGCAAAGAAGAACGCGAGTAAAGAAAGGCCAGGAAAACAAAGCAAAAGGAAGGAAAACAAGAAGACTATGTCATCCTTATCAAGTGGTCAAAATGACTGTGCACTCACACACAACACGCTATAATTTTTTAATCGTTTTTGTTGGCTCGTGTAAATATTTTTTTTCCAAGTCAATGGGAACCACCATCATGACTAAACTGATAGATTTTATGCAACCGTAATTCATTATCATCAGAATTTTGGTCATGGTTATTTTACACTAATGATTTACGTTCAACGAGTGACGTCATATCTCTGCTTATTTCAAAGTACATTTCTAAGATAAAAGGCCACCCAGGATGCCACCCATAAAAGACCATTAACAACCATGTACTTAATGCTGACTGAGCAAGAGATATATCATTTTTTTTAATTAACACATCGGCCGTCTCCCACCAAGGCAGGGTGGCCCGAAAAAGAAAATCTTTCATCATTCACTCTATCACTGTCTTCCCAGAGTCGCGCTTACACTACAGTTATAAATCTGCAACATTAACACCCCTCCTTCAGAGGGGTGTTAATACCCAGGTACCTATTTATTGTTAGGTAAACACCAGCACAGGTTCTGTGTATAAAGAGCCACAAAACGCCGAGGACTGCACAGAACTACTTGGTTCATTCAGGTACATTTATGTACAAGTGCTCGCTTATTTTACCCAGGCAACTTAGGACCAAAGCCTCAGAACCTGGGGATAGTCCGGACAAATGCACCAAATTATTTACATTACTAGTAAGAAATATGTATATGCGTTTTGCTAGAGTAGTTCATCCAGGCTATTGCACTTTTTCCCCTCTTTTTTTTTTTTTGGTTGACCCTACATACTCTCTTTGTTTCTACTATTTCTTCTTTTGTGTATGAAGTTCTCCTATGCCTACTGCCACCTTCCTGCTAAAAACTTAGGAAATTGGAGAGAGTGTATAGGCTTGCTACGAAGCTAGTTCCAGAGTTAAGAGGAATGATGTATGAAAACAGGCTAAAGGAGTTAAGTCTGACAACATGGGAAGACCCAGAGAGAAATGATAACGACATACAAAGTGCTTTGAGAACTTAATAGAAAGGGCAGGGACAGACTGTGAGAGAGGCAGGAAGCGAGTAAGCTATTGCACTGTAGTGCTGTCGCATCCTGAGGGTAGTCAGAGAGAAAAGTGATCAGGACGAAAAAAAAAAAAATAGGAGACGATCCGTAATCTTGTCATAATGGTTTAGTAGTTGCAACAAGTATTATCTTCTATATGTGTAGGTTGTGCAAGTAGTGCTTTTCCATAAAGTTAGCAATTTGGAATCTCATCAACCTCTCGAAGACTGGATCTGAGATGTACATATACACATTATTTTGTCAGCTCTCTATTGCCTTCTCTATGCAGAGTAGCTATGTCTACACTTTTATAAGGCTAATAGGATTTCACCTGCTCTTGCTAATGGTATTTTGCACATTTTTTTTTTAATAAAAAAGAAATTCCACGACGAATCCAGTCCAGGTGCTGCATGAGTAGGCATATTTTGCAAAAATTCTATTGCAAATTCCACGGCATTGGTGCTCATGTCGGCTACATGATCTGTTTGACATACAGAAGTAATGTGTAAATTTTCTGTATCTTTTACTGCTATGTCGTTTTGTGGATTGTTGAATATTGATTTGAACTGGTTTTCTAAACTTCCACTCATTTCTTTTTCCTCGTCAATGTATGAACTTCCTGCGATTAATGGTTCAGTTCTACAGGTGGTTCTTAACTTAGCTTTTGCTTGTGTGTAAAAATAATTGAGGATTATTGCAATATCCTGGAAGGCTTTTCGTTCGTTTTGTGCGTCTTCAGTCTGGTACTAAAGTTTAAGTCTTGTTCTATCTCGGTAATCTCTCGGCGAAGATTATCTTTCCTTTGTTATGACTTATTCACGTCTTCAAGCAGTTCGGTAACTTTTTTCTTTTGTATATTCTTCTACGCTTTCTTTCTACATTTCATCTCTCATATTTCCTCAGCGGTATATTTTTTATAGAGATCCTGAATGTTTCTATATTCAGTTTCTGTAAGCACTGGCGAGGGTTTTGGGTACTTCAGTTTACAAGGATATGTCTGATAGTTATCCGTTGGTTGAGGTTAAATTTGCTGAACATACCTCCTCGTACACTGGCGTTTTCCACCTCTGAATTTATATTTGTTAGTACTTCTATGATTCTTTGATCAGGGTACATTGTTTTTGTGATTAATATGTCTCTCGAGAAGAAAAATCTAGTGTACTTTCATTTCTAGTGGGTTCTGTAATCTGTTGCTTCGAAGCAAACTTTTCTCAAAGCTCCATTAGCTCTCTGATAGGTTCCTGTTAAGCTGAAGTGATTCCAGGAACTACTTCTGGTACAACGCTGGGATTTACCATCTTCCATTTTATATTGGGGAGGTTGAAATCCCGCGAGGAGGATAATGTTTGGCGTAGGGATTTTAAGATTTTCTAGGTAGCTCTTTGTTTTTGTCAGATTAATTGCTCACTCTCACACACACACACACTCAGATGAATCACAGGGATGTTAGGAAGTATTTCTTCAGCCACAGAGTAGTCAGGAAGTGGAATAGTTTGAGAAGCGATGTAGTGGAGGCAGGATCCATTCATAGTTTTAAGCAGAGGTATGATAAAGCTCATGGTTCAGGGAGAGTGAGCCATTAGCGGCCAGTGAAGAGGCGGGGCCAGGATCTATGAATCGACCCCTGCAACCACAACTAGGAGAGTACAGCTCCAACCTTGGCCAGGAGCTGTGACTCAGCCCCTGCAGAACACAGCGCAAAGAAAGTTAGAAGCCAAGTTAATGCTTGAAATTTATATGTTTGTATAGATAGAGTTCTGACGTTCCACTTCATCCATCCCCCCCTTTCTCTCTCTCTCTCTCTCTCTCTCTCTCTCTCTCTCTCTCTCTCTCTCTTCCAACGCTACAGAATGATCGAGAAAGATAGATTATGTAGATGTGTGCCGACCATTTCTATAATGCCTCGAGTTTTTCCCCCCCCAAAAAAAGTTTTTACATTTGCATGCGCTTGTGAGTCCAATACAAAAGTTTGGATGTTTTCAAAGGTAAATAGTTGCTATTTACTTCTCAAGTGAATGAATAATAGAAGGGTTTGGCTGTGTCCGAAGACGGGAAGACTTGCAACCCGTGTCCGAAGACGGGAAGACTTGCAACCCGTGTCCGAAGACGGGAAGACTTGCAACCCATGTTCGAAGACGAGAAGACTTGCAACCCATGTTCGAAGACGGGAAGACTTGCAACCCGTGTTCGAAGACGGGAAGACTTGCAACCCGTGTCCGAAGACGGGAAGACTTGCAACCCGTGTCCGAACACGAGAAGACTTGCAACCCATGTTCGAAGACGGGAAGACTTGCAACCCGTGTCCGGAGACGGGAAGACTTATAATCCGTGTCCGAAGACGGGAAGACTTGCAATATATATCCCCGACGACTTCAGAATGTCACATCATCGAGGGATTTGATTTGTAAAATTAGTCTGTAAGATCTTAGAAGACTTGAAATATATATGCAAAATCGTAGTGTATATATATATAATGTCGTGCCGAATAGGCAGAACTTGCGATCTTGGCTTAAATAGCAACGCTCATCTTGCCATATAGGACAAGCGAAAATTTTTTGTATGCAATAATTTCGCCAAAATCATTCTGAACCTAACGAAAAAAATATATTTCATTGTGTTTGTTTAGTATTAAATTACTGTAAACAAATCTAAAATATATTTAGTTGGGTTAGGCTAAAATAAATTGTTCTTGTTATAATAAGGTTAGGTAAGTTTTCTAAGATTCTTTTGCTGCAAAATTAAATTTTTTTACATTAACATTAATGAAAAAAAAATATCTTTAAACGTATAAGAGAAAATTTTAGAAAGGACTTAATTTTAAATGAGTTCTTGCTAATTGACCAGTTCTAGATATTCGGCACGATATATATATATATATTTATATATATATATATATATATATATATATATATATATATATATATATATATATATATATATTATATATATATATATATATATATATATATATATATATATATGCAAAACAACCACAGTGGTTGTTTTGCATATTCTGAAATCACCTGTTTACTGTGATCTTATTGCATATATATATATATATATATATATATATATATATATATATATATATATATATATATATATATATATATATATATATAGTGCCGAATATGTAAAACTGGTCAATTAGCAAGAACTCATTTAAAATTAAGTCCTTTCTAAAAATTTCTCTTATACGTTTAAAGATATACATTTTTCATTAATGTTAATGCAAAAATTTTTAATTTTGCACCAAAAGAATCTTAGAAAACTTACCTAACCTTAT